ATCCAAATCCAATCTAAACATCTGGCTGACTGTGCAACCAGCAATATAATTGAATAATTGTTTTGGAACACAACAATGATAATACTCTGGTATTGGCCCATCGCCTGTGAGATCAACAGATTCTAGTCAGAATCATGGCTTTGGTTCTAACAAAGAATCAGTAGCAGGCAAAGAAGCTTGTAAATAGGGCAAACTGTGGCTGATGCAATATGAAGCAATGTCCAGCATAGGAGCAGCAATGTCCTAAATTTAACCACTGGCTAAAATGTGTAAAACTGAAAACAATTCAAGTAATATGCATGGAAAAGTGCCAAAGGAGTATGAATCTGAAGATTTTCTATTTTTTTTCTATTTGAATATTTGCCTGTTAGTTGCTTTCAAAGTGATGTAGCAGCAACCCCAACCAAATCAATTCTTCTGTCTCTTTTTAAAACATATATTTCATGGAATTGTGTAGCTGCTGAAACAACAAGGCTTCTTTGTGTCCTTCTAGTTCTAGCAGAACTTAGATATAAGAAGGAACAAAAGAATAGTTCATTTTGGTATGCCTCAGCAATGCTGACTGTGGAAAGCTAAGTGTGTCTTGGGAAATACAATTCCAACAAGAGAAATGAATGTTCCAGCTAGCTTGCCATGGCTGGCTGGCTGGCGGGCGGGCGGGCCGGCGGGCCAGCGGGCCGGCAGATTAGGTTTCTTAAGCTCAGCAAGAGCCTTATAGGTACTGTAAGAGTAGTTTCAGTTGCACCTTTTTATGCTATGTTGCAAATAAAAGCCGTAATGCGTTGGGTGAAGTGGAATGTAATCAGTGAAAGCTATTCCTATAATAATTCTTAAAGTCACCGTGAAATTTTTAACAGACTGTATACTAGGATTTACTGAGTTGCCATCAGCAATGTTGGAGAATAGACTATTTCACTAAGGATAGATGATTGAATAGGCTAGCAAACAAGACCCTGGAATATAGCACTAGTATAATAATTTTCAAGTTGTTCTTGTTATTCCTGCTTGAATGATCTTACCATTGAGGCAACAAGCGTTATTAAAATTATTTCATTCTTAGATGGGCAGAAGTTGATATCAATTTTCAAATGGATTTTGTTTTGTTTATAATTTTTATTAATGAAGTTTTCAACAGAATAAAAACAATGCATATTTTGAATTGAAGATAAGAAGAATAGGGAAAAGTAATAAGAAATTGAAAAAGGGAAAAAACAGGAAAAAAAGAAAAAGAAAAAAAAAGTCATAAAGAAGTGGCTTCCAGTCTTCTTAACAGCAGTTATAAGTGCACTTATATTTTACCCTCTCTCTTTAAAGGTTACATCAATTTTCAAATAGATTTTGGAGAAAAAATATTTGAGAATTTTTGCTGTACTCCATAACAAATAGAAATGATTTCTGGAATTGAGACACTGTTCTCTTTTGGAATAGGTTCAGAATAAGCTGCCTCAAAAGTCTGGAGATTTAATACCTGTAGATGCAAAACAAGATTCTTCAGAAAGTGAAGGCCATATAGTCCAAGATGCAAAAGATGGAGAGACCTCAGTAACCGAGAGTGTGGAGAACAAGAAGGATGGTGTTTGTGGGTAAGAAATTGGAAACGAAAGCTGTTGTTATTAACAGAAGTGCTCTGATTTGTATTAGTCCTCCATCCCTTGAGGAGTGGAAAATTGTTGGACATTTGAGACTTCTAAGGAAAAGCTCTGAGATCACAACAGACTTCATAGAATTATTAAGTTGATATGTTCTTAGTGTATAGCTTTTTGAAAAGAATTTGGTCTTCTGATAAAAAGATGAAGCATATTAAATTCCCTTGATGATGCAATGCATGCAATAGGCCTGACATAATGGCATTGAAATGGCAAGACCTGTGCACAACATACGTAATAACTGGAATGATTTGGGCAAACCAGGCAATGAATGTACTTTACTTATCACATTGAACCAGGATTTGTTTTATTTGGATGTCTGAACCCAGAATCTGATTGATTACTTATTTGTTAGTCTCTTGCCCAATCCAAAATAACGCAGAACAAGAGAAGTTAAGAAAGGCACTATTCTTCACGCTAAAATACCTTCTTCTCTTCAGTGGCCCTGGCAATCATCCTCTTTTCAACACCAGCTACTCCATAGCATAAGGCAAAGGTGGGGCTCTCTGAATCTCTAAGCATCAAACCTCATACCAAACAAGTCAACAGTTTGTCCAAGGAAACTAATTAATTTATAATATTCAAGAATAATTTTTATTATTATATAAATTTATAGTATCAGTATTATACATGCTGGCAAACATATAACCTGTGTTACAACCATATACATAAAATTCTGTTGCAAGAAACACAAACCCCTAACAAAAGCAGGCAAAACGTTTGGAAGACACAAGGCAAAACTCACACCCCATAAGCATAAAGAGATACTTCCCAAACAGATTAAACTCTCTCCATGAAATATACCCTGACATTCACCATCATCACCACCAACTAGAGACAGAGAGACATACATCACAAATACAGGTCAACCCTCAAAGCTGCCATAGATGCACACAGAGCTCCACCCTACAAAATCTGTGTTAATACACAGACAAAAATCATGTCATATGATAAATGGAAATGACTCCACAAACACATGCCAGAACTATCCTTCATCTATATCAGACTGCTTTGGACACTACTAGGTATTGTGAAAGAAATTGCGAGAACCAACCAAGAATTGGTCAATCAAGCCATGGTTCCAGCTTGTTCAAAAACCACAATTAATAATTCTGGCTTAGTGTTATACACTAAGTCCTCGTTTAGCAATTGCAATTGGGACTGGCAAGTTGGTCATTAAGTGAGGTGGTTGCTAAGTGAAAAAATCGTGACCACAGCTGTGCTTACAATTCTATTTCAGCTTTCCTTTCCTTTACAGCATCAGAAAGGTATGATCCCAAACAGTCAGGTGAGCCCAAACAGTGGGGAAGGTTTCCGGAACTTGACTTAAGAGGAAGCCGGGTAAAAAGGCAAATCTTAGACAGTAGCCCTTTTTCCCCACTCCCCTGCCCTTTGGCATGCTCACCCCGGTGCTGGAATAATTAACAAGAAGAAAATGTTTGTATTTACATTCATTGGAGAGGAAGGGATTACAAGAGAGTAAGCAGGCACACAGGGGGGACTACATATTGAAAGGAATGCACTAGCGTGGGCTGGTTGTCTAACACACTGGCTGCAAGCTACAAGCCGCTTAGGAGGCAAACAAAAGTCTTTAGTGTGAAACTGATTGGGGTCTTGTCAATTTCAGGCAGCTACTGTTAACTTGCTCTTAGCTCTTTATAGGGGGCACTGCTAAAAAAAGCAGCTCAGACCCCAGGTTAAGAACACCCCGTTTAAGGATGACCCATAGTTAACAAAAGAGCCTATTGGAGCAAATTCAAGTTTAATACACAATGGTTCAAGTTCATTACACAATACTACTTATACAGTATTATACAATAATACTGTTCCAGCTTACATACAAATTTGACTTAAGGACAGCCTTGAGAACGGAACTCGTTCTTAAACTGGGGTCTACCTGTACACTCAGGCTTTTATATGTATGTTTACCATGGAGAATATGGGCCATCTTCTATTGATTGAAATGAGTGACTAATGTTTTGAAATTGCAGAAGTGGGGAAAGGGAAGGAATTTAACAATACCAGAAAAAGTAGT